TCGCACCGATGCGCATGAAGTCCATGCTCTTATTGGTCGTCAGAGGAACGTCAAAGTCCTCATCCCCAGAAGGCCGCGTGATGACCAATTCCCAACGTCCTGAGGGTGCCCCAAAAATAGGCACGAATGTAATGGTATTGGTTCCCGCATCAAAAGTCGCCGGCCATCCAGGATTAAGAACTGAGGTGTAGTACGAAGCGAAGAGCTCCAAATCAATCAGCGTTTGGGCGTCGCCAACTTCGCAGGTGTATGGGATGCCGGAACCAATGAGTATAACGCTGGGAAAGCAGTTCGTGAGTGTCACCAAGGAATCGTCGTCGGCTGCAGGTGTGGTCATTCTCGTTCGGGGGACCATGCCACCAGCCGCAGCAGCAGCACAGCAAAGAAACGGTTCAATCACAACCATCAGTACCAGAAACAACACCTGGATGTCTCTCAGCTGTAGTCCCATAGATGCCTGCAGTCTCGTCTTCCTTCTGCCCCGACGCAGGATTGAAACAGGTTCAGAGAGGTCCATGTCGCCGAGACTGCAGCTCCTAATGTTTTTTGGTATATTGGAACACCGTAGATGTGCTAATTGCGACTTCCCTTCCATGTGCCTCATGTTCATCGATTGCTTGAATAATTAATAGTTTTACTAGCAGCTGCTTGTCTTGACTCGGCCATAAAACAAAAAAAAAAGCAGAAGCAAAAGGCAGAAAATAGCACGCAGAGCACAGACAATCAGCAACAGAAGAACTAGTACAGTAGACACTTCCCCATGTTTCTGCAATTGGGGTTTCTACTCGCATACCAGTGAAGAAACATCACTTGGGCTTCATCAATTAGAGCACTGAGTTTTGTCGGTACTTTTTCTGCACACCTCTTTGGGGCTTCTCACTCTCCTCTGTGCCTCAGCACACCTCACACCAACAATCCCCTCAATGTCTGTGGCACTTCTCCAAGAAAAACCTCAGATGGTCAGCGTGTCAGCGTCGTTTGGCTCACTCGTCAGAAGCGCATGCTGAGGCAAGGACTGCGGAGGCCACGTCACCACACTGTCGCCTGCAGGGTGATTCGTATTGTGTTGCTGGGGAAGAAGCCAATCCCTCAACAAGGAATACACACGCACCTCCTTCCTCACTCCCCTTGAAACCACACCCAAGTACTGTTACCGCCATTCATCATAACTGAAACACAGAGACGAGAGGAAATCCCACCTTCACTTTACTCCCCAAACAGATGGTGAGCACGACAAGCGTATGCAGGAACAAAACCAAAAAGAGCACCCACCAGCAAGTCGATTTAGTGTCGATTTCTGCAAGATGGACTCTTTGATCGTTTCATTCACAACGGCCATGTGCAGGTAAAGGACACGTCGAAGCAGCAATAATTCAACACACTTTCCCACTCAACTATACTTGTTTCCCTCCGGAGGAATTCAAAAGCTAAAAGCACACACACACACACACATATCTTAATGATCATCCAAAGGCATCACACCCCACACAGCGTCATGTGTTTCCACCAACATCAAGATGATTTCGAAAGTTATGTTCTTCCGTTTGCATAAAGCAAAACCCCCCCAGCAACCATAAATTGAGCATTGGATCCCTGCGACACCGAACACCAGGAGACACCGAAGAAAGCTCACCAAAAAGGCTCAAGGCTGGGAGCAGGGACTTGCACAGTTTCCCCTCAAAACAATGGCATGCTGCTGATGTTGCTGACATCGTTAAAATATCCCCAGATGTGACTTCTACACCAATCAAGAGCACACTGTATCCCAACGATGTCTTCCTCCTCTTCCCACAGAGTCACACACAAGGAAGCAAAACACTTTTGTGACGTCTTCACACCTCAGACCCACACCCCAGAGATCATCGTACAGAACCCTTCCTTTTTTCATTGGCATCCACCAAGAGTACCTCCAACCAGCACAGCATCAACGAATGCCGTGATCACCTCCACAAAACCCACATCATCAATCGTAACGAGGAGCAGCAAAACAACTGCAACGACACACCAATATAGGAGAACGACGCCTTTCTTCCGTAGTGGAGCCGCCTAACACATTCTCGAAGAGGATCAGCCCCGCAGAAGAGAAGACCAAGATTTATTTGCACCAAAGAAATTGGAGGTGAAGAGCAAGAGAACGTGTGGTATTCTCTTACTGAAAACGGTAGCAGGTCGACACACACACACACATCATGCTTCGGTGGGCAGTGCATCTGAATGACGATGTAACTTGCGAATACTGACGACAGAGAATAAAAGGTGTCTTCTCCCAGTGGAATTGGCATGTCAAACAGCTGCAAGAGGCATGGGAAAGACAGCCTACATCACCATTACGGAGAAGGAATCACAGAGACACAAATGTCTGGACTTATTGTGGATCTTTGTCTCAGAGCTGTCACACTCCAGTTTGGTATAGCGAGGTGGCGGAGAACCAGAGCATGGATGTTGCCATATTGACGAATGTTTTTCGGGGTCTGCTGAATGGTTGGAAGGCATTGCAGCGGGAATACAGTGCTCTCCTCGCATTCATCAACAAAACAAAAAGAGATGGTTGGTACACACCTCCCTCAAGAGATTGAATCAAACTCCAAGCGGAGGAGTCATGGCAAGGCAGAGTGGCGCCAGTCGAACTTCAGGCACCCCACAACACATAGCATTGGGTGATCTGCGTTGCACAGTCCGTAGTAGTAAAAGAGCGGCGAAATCCCTTCTCCTGCCTACTCGAATAGAAGACAACACCAAAAAAGCGTGACAAGCATAAAGTGGCAGGTTGAACGGGAGGCAAACAAATAAGCGCATGGCTCAGTCCACAACATTCACTCCAATGAGAGAGAACCTTCCCATTTCACACGTTCCATTCTTACTTCCCATGCGCTGCTTACAACATTTCGAGAAGCCACGCCCAAGTACGAGCGATAATTATTTCTTTTCGTTTTAAAAAAAAAAATAAGGGCTTTCGTTTGATCAATGAGACCCTCCCAAAGCAACAAGCAAGAACCTGAAAAAGCAAGAAACCGCATTTATTACCTCTCCAGCTTTTTTACCACATGAAGCGCATAAAAGATTCGAGACCAAAAACATCGTCCCCTCCAAAAAAAAAAGGTTTCTTTTGTGTTTCCGGCACATACGAGTATTGGTGTCTTTATTCACCCAAGAGGAACCCGGCGCAGAGCGGAATCGTCGGCCGGGCACCGCAGCTCACAGCGAACACCAGGGGGGCGCACCACAAGATCATGAGCCACACCGCACATATCTCCATGATATATATTTCGACCACAGATAGAAAAAAATTTACAAGACAGCAATGACACAATAAAAACCCCTTCAAAGCAAGAAAAGCATGAGTTTCAGAGGATGACACTCCTCTTTGTATCATTACCCACGCGGCAAATAACTTTAATTCTTCTTCCTTAGCATACCCTTTCAAGAAACTCACCTACGCTAAGTAGCCTGACACGCACACCAACAGTCCTCACACCTTCACACTCAGAGAGAACCACATCTTCCAGAGTCTTGATGGATGCGAGAGGAGACACATCTGTAAGGTGTTTGCAGGTTTGGAGTACAATCTTCACAAGACTGTGACTCTTACTGAGG